TTCACACGTGGCGGCTAGTGATTGGCTTGCTAGCCGTATAAAAAGCTTGAGTGGTTTCCGCCCAAGTTGGAGGACTCCACAAACACCGGGAGGAGGAGACTTCACGCTGTGTGAAGATCTCTAAGCGCTGAGGATCCCTACGGACCCAATGCATTTCAAGCAGGCAACAGAGGTCTGATCAGCCTCTAGCCTCTCCCCGTCGCCGATCGCAGCCTAGACGTATCCCTTCCTGCGCGCAAAAGAACCGGACCCACGAAGCCTAGCAAACTTTGTGTGGATGAGTGAGCAGAAGGACCCACGGAGCCTAGCAAACTTCGTGTGAATTTATTCAGAGCTCTTTCGGATGAGTACTTTCTTTGGTTGACACGATGGGCTCGCGTGTTCAGAGCCTTCAGCCGGATTGGGCTAGAGTTCACGAGTTTAGAACTCTTGGCCGCCTCTCTTCTTTCCTGTCTGTAACCGCAACTCAAGCAAGTTTTCCAGCCTACACCATGACCATCTTTGGTGTAAGTAAACAATCTTTAAAACTACCGCTAAGCGTTTGTGCCTAATTCCAGCTCGTCGCCCTCCCTCTCCGATCCAGCATGCCCGGGCTGCTGGCCACAGCCCGCGTGCAGCACGAAAAAGGGCTCGCGTCACTCCCGGCGCGCACAGCGTGGAAAATCTTCTGCCTCCCCGTGGGAATTGGCTATCTAAGGTGCTTTTGAAAATGTGTGTGGGACCTAGATGTCTTAAAAAACTCTGGCCATTAGCTGCCTAATACCCACTGACTTTCAGTGAAATGAATGGTTCTAAGTCACTCAGTTTCTTTTGAAAATGTTACACTGTCTCTTCCCACTGGGAAAGGGAATGTTACACTGTCTCTTCCCACTTCTTCACCACCTGGCTTAAGGCAGCTCTGATCCTGACCAGTCACCATTATAACACTGGGTACTTCAGCTCCTGTCCACCTTACAGTACCAGACTAAATTATGGGTTTTCTAAAAAAATAAATGTCTAGGGAACTGAAGACCTATGGCAATATTTCTGTGTCAACTATAAATGCACTTACATCTACCAACGATTTCCCACCTTTGGTCAGAATCAGGGACCCCTGAACACCTTTTAAGACTTGAAGAGTGGGCACTTGGGAAATTAGTTCTTCCCTGACTTTTTTGTTTCTATTTCAGGCAAACAATCCAGCTATGTTCATAGAACTGGATAATATCCAGCCCTACATGGATACTCAAGAAGTTTCCTGTTATGTCCCTATGCTTTGCTAAACACAATCTCCTCCATCTGATAAATACTTGATAAGGAGGAGGAGGTAGGTCATGACACTGAATGGCAGAGCTGGCAAGCTATATATTGGAGGGAGCATGGCACATGTTCTAGTAAGGAATAATTTAGCAGCCACATCCCTCTTTCACATAGAGATCCAGTAAACATGACTGGGGCATTTCAGTGCCACTCTGCAGAATCTAAAGGGTACAGGGTAGCCACAAAACTTAGGAATCCATAATACAGTTTCATTAAGAAGATGCATGTAGGCCCAGGCATCCCTAGTGTCTCTCATCCATTTGTATCTCTTGAATGTTGGCCTATACACTTAGATCTGCTACACAGTTTGGAGGCATCAGTTGCTGCCTGAGCAGGGAGACCCTTTGCAACTATAAGTGTCATTACCTGCTGAGTGTGCGGAAGAGCAGGAGCACTGGTCCCAGTGGGCTGGGAGAATGCCATCGGCGGCAGAGCTTTCAGCATCATGTTCTGCATAATGATCTGGTGCATCTGAGCATTCTGCATTAGCATCATTTCCACCATGTCTAGGGAAAGTAATGTCATTGTCAGTAAGAGGCAGAGAGCAAAGGGCATGTCATTGGGTTATGTCCTTCAGTATGAGGTGCCAGGGGCTCTTAAATTCAATAAAGCAGTTCACAGGGGCTTTTGAAAAGGCCTTTCACACTCAGCAGTGTCCAAATATACTTCCATCTGTTTGGCCAAAGATTGTCCTTTATGCCAGTTACTTATGAGAATGTTTGAGGCTCAAACAGTATGGGCCAGCTTGATTTTATCGTCTTTCTTCTTCAGTGAAACCCTCAGGGCTTCCTAAAATGAAAGACTCTTCTCTGCTTTCAGATTTTGTTACCAACTTGCAGCTCTGGGTAGGGTCAGTGATAGGCTGCTGAGGAACAGTAAACCAAGTCTATCTCATGCTAATCTCGGTTGACACTTTATTACACTATACATGGTGTATACCTCAAACAGTTTCCAACAGGGGCAGATTCCCAAGATACAGACCCAAACCAACCAAAACTCTGTACATGTAGGGCCCAAGGCACTCCAGGTGTTTATGTGGAAGCCAGTTTGAATAGATTGGCAGACCTGAGAGTTTTATAAGTAGGGACCTACACAAACCACAATTGTGCAGATTTCACAACAGTCATGAAATCAGGTGATCTCTGCAAAAACCACAGAAATCTCCCCCCACCCCCCAAAAAAAAAATTTACTAAAAGTAAAATGCTGGCTCCCCAGTGGGAGCCAGCAGACCTTCCAGCCATTGTGGCCTGCTGGGCAGAAGAGAGGAGAGGAACTGCGGCACAAAGGGCTCCACCCTTGCCTCTCACCACCGATTGGTTGAGAGGGCTGCCTGTCACACAGCCCCACCCCTCTCCAGACAGCAGGAAGGGATGGAGCCATATGATGGGCAGCCCTCTCAACCAATCATCAGTGGGGGGCAGGGTCAGTTGGGCCCCTTGGCCAATCAGAGGCATGGGGGGGTCACCATGATAAGCCCTCGAAAGTGACAGCTGGCCTCATGATCTGCCCACAAAATTGGCCGGCCACCTCCTTGAGCTCGGTAGACCCTTACTTGTAAGGTACATGTACAAATTCTTGGTCTTTCTGTGACTGAAACATATTACAAACCTGCATTCAAACTTCTGCATCACTGGATTAATGCCATCTGGACCATCGATGCATAGATACATTACTGTGTACACCAGTAATGAAAAGTAAAACCGAAAATGTTCTCAAAATCCAGAGAGATTGGAGGACATAATGGCATACTAGGCCACTGCCTGCAGGTATGGTCAGATTGTGTCCTAAAGTTTATTTTCCCAGTTACATCAGAGAGTTCAGTTCAGATTCAGTTTGAGAAGCCAAATGAAAACAGTTTCTGCTGGGCTGGGCTAACCTTCCTGCTTACATGACAAAAGAAGCAGCCAAATGGGAATGTGAAAGGATACGATGACATTTCCATTATGTGACACCCTCAAAACCCAACCTCCTGTTCAGAACATGCCACCAACTGTGTGGCCCATTTAATTTTGTGGGAACAGAGGCAGATAAAATAGTCTACAAGAAATTCCTATGAGTACTTTGCAAGAACAAACGAACACTTTTGGGTTCTAGACATAGTACACATGTAAGCCAAAGCCTTGGCAGTTTTACAGATGCAAATCTCTTTCCAGGGCTCTAGTAAGAACCCCTAAAAAATAAAACAAAAAACTACTGAACTAATCTGTGTCCATTCCTGAAGCCCAAGCCACTGAGTGACACACAGCTCCACTAGAGACTGTATCACCTTGCTTCTGAGACATTCAACCATATCATGAAAATGAGCATTATCTCCTCACAGGCTGGCTTCAAAGGGACACATTTTTGAACACCAAGCACTTCTGTCGTTAGAAAATGTCAGAGGACACTTGTGGAGATAGGGGGAAGGAAAAGGAAATGTGAATATCTTAACCACCTGAAGTGCTTGAACACTTTCCCCTATTTAAGGATGTTAAATAGCCACACTGAGATTCCATTCCATGTAGATTTGATAAGTATTCAGTTGTATACACTGACTTTGGTTGGATCTTCATAGTACCTATCTAACAAAACTAATTTAATTGCAAACACAATTGTAGCAACAAGTTTTTTGTAGTTTTTTTCCCCATTCAATTGCATGTGTAGTGCCTGATGTAACTACATCAACAGGGGAGTCCATTATGAACTTGGTCGTCATTTTGTTTGAAAAAAATAAATTGATCCCAATAAACTAATCCATGAATGCCCATGCAGTGGTGTTGCTCCTTCATTTCTTTGTTGATTTACATTTAGAAATGCAGGAGGATTTTGTTTGTTGGCACAGTGCTGCATTCAGAGTAGCACTTTCAGCTCTCCTGAGTCCTGTTCCTAACTGCATGACATTCATGCATGAGATAAAATGAAAGTTTATGTTATGCTAAGGGGAATGGATAGGGGTTTTTTTAGCTATTAATTCATATTGGAATTATTTGTGTATAAGTTTGAGCTGCAAAAACTAGATTCTATTGTATCGATCTATCATGGACTTGGGTGCAATTTTGTTCTTCACTTCTCAAATGTTTGAGAAATTATTACTAGGAAAAGAGGTAGGTTCTCCTCCTTGCTGCTTTTTTGTGGCTCAATCTTAGGGTAAAATGGCAGTTTGTACAAAAGAAGATTCATTAAGGGTGATTTAAAGAATTGGGCAGAGTGGGATAGAATCACCCGTAGGTGCTTAAGTCCACTTAAGTGCCTAATGGGTGGAATAGAATCTGGCCCAAGTGTTCACATTAATATTATCAAGTATTGTCCTTTAGGCTCTTCTGTTAATCCCAAACTTCTCGGCAGTTTATCTTCTTGCTGAATGTGTACTTTCTTTCATTTTGGAAGAGAGAATGGACTGTAGTGATTTGAATTACTCTAAAGCTCCCTCTTTGAGATGGCACAAGATATTGTGATCTGCAATCCCAGAACTTCACTGACAGCCTAGTTATGGTACACAATACAGTAATTTGAATATTGTCTCATGTTACCATAGTGATACTGCTTTCTTGAACTCCCAGTGAACTTGGATCATTTAATGAACCCAGGACACTGACTGGGGAGAGACTTACCTTCCTTAATGCTTCCAGAGCGGGGGGCAGGGAGTGGCTGGGGAGAAGGGATCTGTGTGATGAGTGGTGGCTGCTGAGGTAACTGTTGGATGATGGTTGCAGGTTGTTGAGGTACCTAGCAATTAAAGGACAGCAAGAGGAGTCAGGGTCCCATTGGTCTGTAGTCCTTGGCTATCTGGGCCACTCCATTTTGGTTTCTGAGCTAAAACAGTAACTGAACTACATGTTGTGCAGTGCAGATCTGACTCCAAGATCTCTAAGAACTAGGATAGTCCACATGTCCAGCTACTAGTCTGCAAGCTCCATGCTCAGCCTCATTGTCCTGGTTATAAGATAGGTGAGCTGAAACTACGCACCACAGGCAAACATTTAACATCAGAATTGAGCACAACTCCTCCCTAAGACCTTACTCTAGTCATTGCTATTGGGGAGTGTAACAGGGGGCCTTCTCGGGGCCGATTTGACCGTGGCCCGCCCACCTGTTTCTGAGCTAACCGCCCGCCTTCTCGCCCACCACACCTTTTTAAAATTAATTAATAGATGTCAATAAGTGGGAGGCTGCCCATTTCTTGCCCCGATGCTATCTGTGGCTCCATGCCTCCCCTACACTGCAGCCCAAGCCTCGCAGATGGCATCTCAATGTTATCATCATCACCGGCCCTCGCACTGGGCCCCAGAATCCTTCAATCAGGACCCCTCTAAGATCCCTGCATTCTGGTGGCCTAATCCGCCGTCATACCGGGCAGCATAGCTCCCTGAACCACTTCCCCTTCGGGTGTGGTCCCCCCACCAGGACCTTTGGCTCCTCTAGCCCCGGCCCACCTCCAGGCCAGTCGGGACCCTCGGTGCACAGCTCTTGGGCGTCCCTGGTGGTGGGCCCCCCCGGCCCTTCGACCCTTCCAGTCCTGGCCCCAGCATGGACCAGTCAGGGGAAGTTCAGACAGGCCCGAGTCTATGGCCTCACTCTTTCTCCATGGGGTCCACCCTCCAGGCCCTCCAAACCAGGGGTAACCCACCCAGTTGTGGGGGCTAGGGGTTAAGGCACCCTGACCTGCCTTTCACCGGGGTGGCCACTGGCCTGGCCTTTTCTGGGGGCCCCCACGCCACTGAGAGCCCCACCAGACCACCTACTCCCAGCAGGGTGCTGTTTTAGGTCATGCCCAGGACCAGCAGCCTGCTTACCGTCCCCTACAGCTCCTCCCTTACCTCCAGATGATACCAGCAGCCCTCCGGCCAGGCAGTGCTGTTGCCTGGGCTCCAGCAGCAGAACTGCCCTGTTTACATGGGCAGCCCTCAGTTCCAAATGGCTGCCCTCATCAGGCACCTGCCGGCTGCTGCCAGCTCCAGGCCCTTACAGTGGCAGGCACACACCGTGCCCTGCCACAGGGAGCCACACTGAAGCAACCCCTTGGGGTAGCTGGCTCAGCCACTCTTTGCAGTGGTGAAGCTTCAGTGGTCCCTTGGAAAGGCGCAGATCACTAACCATAGCAGTTCTGAATGAGGTACACCGGAGCTTGCCCTAGCACAGGACATCATTTATTGAAACCTCAGTGCAGACAAGGCTGGAGCCTTTTTAAAAGACCTTTCTCCTGCAACAAATGACCAGATGCAGATGAGTCACAAGCAGAAATGACCTATCCCTGAAATGAACAAGATTTAGTTACACATTGTCACAGAATGAGAAGCTTATTTGTTGTTCAAGCAATAAAAGGAACGAGAACCAAGACAGTGCAACATTCAGGCTTTATTCCATCCTCCGCATGTATAGTCATGTCTCAGCAAGCACTTCCTGGAAGGGGAATTCTCTAACTTCCTAGCTATTACTCTACATATAAACATGCTATTAGATTTTCATGGCTTCCATTGGGAAACTATCTATTGTGACAGCCCTTTTGTCACTTTTATTTGAAAAAGCTAAATTAAAAGCGAATCCCATGAGTTTCTCACATAGTTAACTTTTTTATTACACCTCTTATAAATCTGTATCTACAAATAGACAGAACATTATCCCTTTTTAATTCTTCATCTAACTTGTCAGTTGCTTGTGAAGCAAGTTATTTTCCTCTGGGTTTGGATGGATTATTCTTTCATGCCATGGTCTTTTACAAAGCTGCAAGTGTTTTGCTGGGTTGAATGTAAGTCTTTCTTGTGATGACAGGAGTCTTGGCAATGTAGTGCTTTGAGAGTCTGCATACATATCTATGTGTCCATCATTAGTCAGCGATCCTTATATGCTCTATTAAGTCTCTTCAAGAGTACATATTTCACCATTCTCCGTGTCCATTTTTTTGTCTTGGGTTTCTAGTATGCATATTTATTTCCAGTTTCAGTAAAATACATCCCTCCACTGCTACATAATATGAATAAGGATGTATCTGTTCAATACTTTGAGTTTATTTCAAAGTGAGTGATTTGTTTGGAGGAAACAACATGATTCTGTCAATGTCATTAATTCTGGGTGGCCTTTAACTTTTCAGGTATGGTTGGCTTTGGCCTTTACATATACTATAATTCTTCCCCTGATGTAGTCATATGGGAATAAAAGTAACAATATATGGGCTGTAATTGACACCAAGTGCTGTACTTGAATGGGCAAAGGTCTGGAGTGGACAAGACACTCCCGCAGAAGAATGGCTTGCTTTGCTTTTTGCCGCTTTCATTAATAAAATCTTAGCAAATTTAACAGTTGATTCAGTGTTGCCATCTCATGAAAGGTGATGTGGAATGATGTGATTTGAGGGAATTCTTATTTCCATGTAAATTGTTCAAACTCATTGCAACTAAACTGGAATCTGCAGTCTGAAACAAGTGGAGTCTGTGATACCCTGCTTGCTGTAATGCACCACTGTCTGACAGTTCATCTAGCTCCCAGACATTGAAATGGTAGTTTACAATAATGAAGTAGTCTGTGATGTTTGTAATAGCAAAGTTCATTCTTACTTAGCTTCAAGGTCCATTGCGAATGATCTATGTTTTTCAAGTCTTGTTTTATTACCTGGTTTGCTTTTTTCCCCATAACCCATTTCTGTTCACCAAGTCTCAGACATTCTTGATCAAGTTTGACCAATGTATGACCCTTCTGATTTTCCGGACATTAGAATCATTCTGGGTAGAAGTACACATATTTTTTAAAATTTCTGATCTAAGTGACATATGTTGGAGTGATGTTATGGCCATGATAGTTCAGAAAATATGTAAGATGCAAGGATTTTTTGGGGTGATATCCTTTTTTGGGCCACCTAACATCTCTCCCAACTATACAGTTGGTCCCATAAAAAATATCACACCCCCAAAATCCTTGCCTCCATGACAGAGATATTATGACCTGACTTCCTTTATACATGAAGCATACTCCTCTCAACTCAGTAGTCCCACTGCTCTTTAAAGACTTTTAGAGGCTTTTCCCTGGCTGCCTGGGCATCTTACCATTAGTGGTGGCAACTGTGACTTGTTACCCATATAGCATTATTTTTGTTAGAATGATGCCCAAGCCCCATCCCACTGGCCTTTAAGAGTAAACTTGTCTCTTCATTCATAATTATATCATAATATTTCAGCTCTTTGCTATATATAATGCTTGCATCTTGTTGAGTTACGTCCACATGTGACAGGGCACTTGGCATACCTGTCACTTTGAGAGGAAAGGTTGAGGGAGAAACAGCCTGCAGGTGTGGGAGGAGCCAACTACAAAGTCACCTGAATAGAAGGGGCCAGGCTTGAGGCATATAAGCCCGAGGCCTGAGCTGCTCAGGGAGTCTAGCCCTGGGAGCCAGAGGGAGAGGAGATCCGGGCAGTAGGGCTGCTCTTAGTAACAGAGCTGGGGTAAGCAGCACAGAGCCCAGGAACAGGGACAGGTGAGCCCATAGCCTGGAGAGGAAGGCCTTGGAAGAGATAGGCCTATGAACAGGGGCAGGGGAGCCTGTAGCCTGGAAAGGGGCAGAGGCAGGGAACAGTAGCCCAAGGACTGGGGCCAAACAGCCCAGAGATTAGGGTCAGAGGTCTGTAACCCAGGAGGGGCAGTTGTCAGCGGGGCCTTGGAGCCCAAAGGGGGCTTCAGAGAGGCTGACGGCTAAGGAGGGCCACAGCTGGAGACTGGCAGGGCAAGGGGAGCCCAGGACTGACCTAGGAGTGGGGACAGGGCCCAGAGAGAGGGGCCAAAGACCACAGGTTATAGCTGGAGACTAAGGGGGCCAAGGAGCCCGTAGCCCAGGAGGGGCTTGTCAACAGGAAGGAGTACCATCTGTGAGGCATGGATGTGGTGTAAAGGGAACATTGGAATTATGTTATTAGCCCTTAAGGCAATGATCACAGATACCTGGGATCATAAGCATGAGATCAGGCTTGGGAAGCCTTGGGCAGCCTCCCTTTCCTAAAAGTACCATTTTATCAAAATTAAAGGGGAGTTTACCCAGAAAAGGCCAAGGAAGGAAGGGCTGAGTGGCCACCAGGGGGCATTAGGACCATCCTGAGATGAGCACTTGTTACATACACCATACTACCTTTGTTCAGTAGTTGCATAGTGGTATGCTTCCCACCCCCGCCTCCCCTTTCCCCCTCCCCGACCACTTGCTGAGCAACAGCTGGAGGCAGGATAGGAGGAGTATTGCTGTGCATTCACTTGCATGTGCGTGTATGCATGCACACCCCCTGACCATGGTGCCCTGGGCAGTAGCTAACGTCACCCACCCCTAAGGCAATCAATCACAATTTTCTCTTGCTTTTTTCAATTTTAGATTGATTTCCCTGTGTCCAAGGGATTTATTCACACAGATGTCATAGTGTGTTCTCTGCTCTTCTTTATTGTACAAATTATTCCAGAATTAGCATCTCTAGGCTCAAGACCTCATTTGTTTAGCTAAAAGCTGTGGCTTCTGCAATGTCTGCATTGCTTGGAATTTCAGTGTATATACTTACAAACCAAACAATTTAGCATCCTAGTTCCATAATGAGTTTGTCACCATATAGTTTTCACTTGTCTTTGTCTGCTTGCCACTTCACATTCTTCCCCTAAGCAAAGAACTTCCTCAACGTTACATAAAACATCCGCTGGTGCCCCACTATCAACTTGGCAGTATTTCTGTTTAGGTGCTTAGTTTTGCATATGAAGAGCTAGTTTGAGCTTGACAAACTATTCAGGTTTGCGGTTTTGTACTTCACTAATATCACATGCATGCAAAATCCCATCCTCTGAGGTGCTGGTTGCTTCCTAAGTATAGAGCACTTTTCTTTGCTTTTTTTTGTTTGCAAGACTTGGCTTTGCCTAATGACTCTTCTTGCTACAACTATGCATATGACGCAGATGCAGGAAAATTTTCATGCCCATGGCTTTTCTCCATAGTACCCACATGTTTCGGTTTTTTGCATTTATCTCCTCTGCTTCTTTGAGTTTTTACTTTTGTACAATTTTTAGTGCTTTTTCTTTCCCTGTGTTTAGTGAATTCTTTCCATGTCTGCTCCACTTAAACTCTGCATGTGAATCTGAGCTTGCTAGTCTTCTGTGGCTAGATACAAACATTCAAAAAGCCCGAGGCAGAATTGATCTAAGTTGCATGGTTTTCTGTAAGTGGTATAGTTTAGATCAGTAGTGAACAGAAGACACATTCACCCTGGGGAGGGGGGTGTGTGCATATCTTAGACTGGGTTCTACCATTTTTAAACCAGTCTGTGCCGAACTTCTGTTCTGTTATGGATAGAAACCAGTTTCCGATCACATACACCAGTAAAAGTGTAATGTCTGTACCTGTTCTGTGTGTCTGTAGCTCTTGGTAGGTTTTGAATCTTTCATCCTTACTACTAATTGTCATGAACTGGTTCTCCATTTTAAGACTGGATAATGGCATGAGACCATTTTGAGCAACTTTGTAATAGACTGTTCTATTGTTTCTCCAGGTACTTGATTATGCCTGTTGGAAAAAAAAAATCTCATGATGTAATCTAGGAGTAACTGCAGAGAAAGAAGGTGGGTTCTGGCTGCTTGGAAGAGCTACCCACAACATGGTACTCGTGTGACTTGCCTTGCCCTGCTCTGGAATTCTTACACCTTCCTCTGGCTAGGAACCAGCAAGGGAGAGGCAAGTCAACTTAAAAAGACAGGTTGGTGATGGAAATGAATCACTAGAGAGCCCAAACAGCAGAGAGGAGCTTGGCATAGAAATACTATTCAGCTTTCACAATGGGGGCGCTGAGGAATGCACAGAGATGTCACTTTTTTGCTGGCGAGGGAAAATGCAGTGTTCCTGTTTAAGGGAAATTAAGAAGGCCTGAGATACTGAAGAGGACTGTGGTGAACAAGTGCCATATAGAACTGGGGATCAGATTGTTAAGAAGTTGGGGAACCTATTTCCTCACAAGCTTTTCACACAGTAAGTTAGGTTAGTCATGGTGACCAGTGCTTGCAGATACCAGTTTGTTATGCCAGCCAACACTGGTGTATTCTGTTCAGTTCTTCCATAGACATAATGAGAAACCAAACTGTTTTGGAAATGAGCAAAGACTGGGGGGAGAGAAAGAGAAGATAGTCATGCTGATTCCTTCTAAGAACTTGTTGTCCCTCTATCCATATTGTATGGTTCTGTGGTCATGTTCTGCCTATTATTATTATAAGGTTAGTATTTTTATTGAAAAATTCTCAGTATGACCACCTGTCCTGCCATTGAACAAAATAGGATGGCACCAGAGCTGGAATGCATTGCTGTTTACTTGTAGAGAAACAAAATGGTGCTCAAACAACACATATTGGTATAAGAGCAGATATCATATTTTATTGCATACAGCATGCCCCAGAATATAATATGCACCTTGTTTTTGAAAGGCAGAATGAAGAAAAAAGGACTTTCAAAGTTATTTATGGCTGCATAGAATAGGGACAGAGACTAATTTTCAGCTGACTCATGCTCCCTTTCCTGTTTCCTACTCTGACAACTAGTTTCCTTGGTAGATTAATAATTTTGGAAAAAGTTGAGTCTCCAAGGCTGTGAAATAGGAGGAGAGAGACCAGGAGCAGCTCAGACAGGAAAATTGCCTTTAAAAAGGTTAGCTTGATTAGTGGAACACAGACACCATTTAAAAAAAGAGACAATTGTTACCACCTCTAGTTTCCTGCATAGTAATATAGCAGCTAATATACTGGCAAGGAGGAATCAAAGCAGGGTGCTTCTATCCTAGGCAGGAAATCAGATCTCCTGCTCAATACATGCACCCCAAATTTGGGGGGTTTATTTTGGGGGTAAAGGTAATCTGTGGTAGAAAATTTAGTAGTATATGAAATGCATTGATACAACCTATATAATACTGTCCATTAAACATGCAATTGAATGCTTTATATTTCCTTTGAGTACAAATCATTAGTCTAATTAAGCAGTAGGAGATGATTAAACAGTCTCTCAGGAGGAAATTCTGAACCTAAGGCAACAGAAACACTAACAGCCAAACAGTAAAACAGCATCTATCTCGGTGGACATTACCTAGTAACCTCTAGAGCTAGTGTGTGGTTGGAAGAAAATAAAATTCCTGTTGGTGCCTGTAGTCAGTGAATCTGTGCAGAATGGCATGTGTACAACTGACTGCAATCCTGATTTTGGGAAGGAAATAGAGGAGTTTTCTAGTAGCACAACTCTTACACTTTCCTCAGTTGTGGGCTAAATGTGGTAGAAGAACAAGCACACACTCTCTGACTCAGCCTATCCTCCCAGTGGAACCATGGGAAAGTGACTCCCTTGTGATATAATATGCATATTTACATGTTTAATTTCAAATTAAATTTGCATGTTTGCCCAGATTCATTCCATGTGAGCCTTGCTTACTGTTACTCTGTCACTGTGGAATGTCAGTTACATCTACTTGCAAGCAATCATTTTTTGGTAGGTGAGAGTATACATCAAAAGATTATTCCATATGGCCTGTGAACATCAGCAAATCCATTCTTTGGATAACGGGCATAGAAGTTCTTTGTTTCTCTAATAAGGCTTCTTATATTCTCTCTGGAACTTGCCCAGATAGGTCAGTTTCTCCTCCCTTCTCTTCCCTCTGCCACCCACCGGCCTTGCTGAGCTGGCATTATCTTTCTCCTCTTAAGTTTGGAGGTAAATGTTGTATTAATGGCATAGCCTCTAGGATTATTTCCACTCTGAACACTGTTGTAAGTGATGTCAGGCAGGCAGACCTTTTTGAGACCTAGTTTGCACAGCAAAGGCTTTCCCAAACTGAACTCCAGTTCTGCCAGAAGATTTGGAGTACATCTGCATGCAAAGCTCCTCTACACTAGTAGCACCCTCCTTTCTGCTGACAGAATGAAACAATCTCTGCTGAGCCATCTGCTGCCTGCCTCAGTCCCCTTCAGTAGCTGGGGCCTTTCTAAGGTGCATTTTGTACTCTGGTGGCATAGCTCTGGGGTGGAGTCCTGTGGAGCTGAAAGAAGCACATGGTCTGGCAGCTTGTTAGTGACAGCTGTGGTTTGTCACCAGAAATTCTGGCAGCAGAGGGAGGGGAGTATAGACAAGACCCAGTCTGATCATCTGAGCCGGATTTTGAAATGCAGCTTCTAAAATTACAGCTAGGTTTTCCCTGACCACTTTTTTACTTCCAAAAAGCCCTGTTTGAAGATGGGGGCACAAACTGTTTTTGCCCAACAGAACTGTGTGATTGCAGGACTCATCCAGACTGAGTCTGGGTTCATTCCATTTCCCTGTCATGTAAATCCTTACTACCATCCTCAGCTCAGTTTTGGAGCCAGGGACTGTTACAGCTTTATAAGTTTTAAGGTTGAAAGAAATTAGATTGTCTAGTCTGACCTTCTATGTCATAGAATTTCATGCCCCACATGAAGATACTAAGCGATAAAGAATCCCATACTTCCCTTGGAGAATCCCATATTTCCTCTGCATCACTCCTAGCCTCATGGGTGGATCTAGGATTTTGAAATATGTTTTATCACATATAAAACAACACATTTTTCTCCAGTAAAAAAGAAACTAGAAGCTCTACTAATATGCTAGGGACCCAAGGCTATATTATTCCGTTTAAGATTCATGCAAAAATAAAAAACTTAATTGGCATGAGTTAACCTGCAGCACTGTGAAATAGAAGCTTCATTACCAGGGGCAGCTAATAGACAGCAATCTTTACACACCCCAGAACTGCAAAACAAAGGATAGCTTGATTGGTGGAACATCAGGACCATTACAAAGAAGAGAGGATCTTTAACACCTGTGGAATGAAGAGTTTAGAAAGGATCAGGTAGATTACAATTGATTCCCTTAGGTAGTTGGTTTTAAACTTGGCGTGAAGCAGGAATCATAGGGGGATGCAAGTGCACCAGTACACCTGCCCTGGATCTGCTCCTGCCTAACTTCTGCTAATGCAGGGAATGAGAGATAAGGAGACCCACTTTCTGAGCCAGGATTTTGATAGCCATCGACACATAGGAAGCTAGGTGCTGCAGCTGTTTTTTAGAGGGATGCTGCTGGTCTTAGTACTGACATAGGGAGGATCTTACTGTGTGCTGGATGATCCTGGGTGGCTCTGCTGGCGGAACTGGAAGAGGTGGCTGGTAAACGTATGTAGGTTCTGTTCTGTAGCTTTTACAGTGGCTTCCTGCCAAGAGCTGGGGCCTTGAAAGTTCTTCCAAAAACTGCTGCTCCTGCAAGATCAAATAATTTGGTAGCATTTGTCAGAGGGAGAGCCTTGTAGTGTAAAAGCAGCACTGGGTGGAACTGGGACTTGTTTAATCCTAGCAACTCCACAGGAGGAATGAATCTGATCCACCAGTATGCTGCTATGGGATCTCTTGGCATCATGCTGCAGAAACTAACAGAATGACAGCAGTGATATAACAAGCAGAGTTTGTGCTGTCAGCAAACCCTGACAGGGAACAGAGGCGAAGAAGGGGTGTGGGAAGGGGGGTTTTGAGAGCAGGTGCCACATGCAGATTTTGAGAGGAGGGGTGGGTAGGGGAGTGCAGGAGTATCCGGTCCCTGGCTACTGCTGCATGCTCTGCCCACCCTGCCTCTTGCCTCTTGCACTGGCTGCTGCTGAAAGAGCAACACTATGGAGATGCTCTTGCTGCCAGGGCACAGACTCCACAGAGGAGGGGATCAATTTTGGCAGCCCTCCTACACTTGTGCCCAGGATTGGTGCTCCCTCTCGCCCATTCCTGGTTATGCTCTGAATGCAAGTGACCGTTCCATATAGGAAATCACACAGCCACAAAACATCTTTTTTTTCCCGTGGCAAAGATTTTTGTGGATGTTTATCTTTTATTGGACCAACCACAGGGTTGGGATAGACTTGGTCCAATAAAAGATATCATCCAGATAAATCCCAGTCTGTCACAAATTTCTGTTTCTTCTATGCATTTCCTTTACTGAGCTCTGGAAATAAATAATAAAGACAATCTTCAAAAGTTTCAGGAAACATGGTTTTGTTAATTGCCAATTTCCCCCTGTTCTTGTCCCCTTTGCTCCTAACCCCTCCCCCTACCCTGAAACAAGAAAACTTGTAAGAAGTAATAATACAAACATTCCTCCTGGCAGATAATACTGAAAGACTCCAGTCAGGATTGGAGCCTTATTATGCAGGGTGCTAAAAAAAATGTATCATGAAATATAGTGTCCACCCCAAAGAGTTTACTATGCAAGTAGCCAAAACAGATGAACAGATGGCACACAAGCAAAATAGTAGAAGTGCCAGTCTTGTTAGGTGTGTTTTTTTTCCCGCAGCGTGAAGCCCAGCACCCAGGAGCCAGAAGCAGTGGTGCAGCAACTGAGAGGAGCTGAGCCCTCAGTGCCCAGAGTGGGGCACAGGGTAGAGAGGAGCCCAGCGGCGCAGGAGAGGCACTGCAGCAGAGGAGGCCCCATTGAGCTGTGCCCTGACTACTGCCACCAGAGGGAGCGTGAGTCATTGGGCCCTTGGGTCCCTCAGGGGCAAACCCAGGGAAGGGGCTGGGTGAGCATCCCCCAGTCTAGTCAAGACCCTAAGGGGAGGGGCCCCTGGTGATTCCTGGACGCCCCACAAGGGACCCCATTGGAAGGGGGACTATCTCTTGCCATGGGTCAGGGATTATATTAAGGAATAGATGTTATTAAGATTGTTCATGTTTGCACCTTATATTTTGTAATTGAAATATTGTATTGTAATGTTCTAAGTAGTGTTATTTAGGGTTTGACCTTGGTTATTGGTTAATGTTCTCTGTGTAAATAAATAAATAAATATACATAAACATAAAACTAAATATTTAGTTTTATGTTTATGTATATTATAACTTAATAAACTGTATATAGTTAAGAACTTTGGGCTTGGGCTAACTCTATAGAGGAAAGAGGGATCTGCTTGAAATTCTGGCATCCCTCTCACAGCACCCCCTCCTGCCTACCCATCTTATTCAACTGAAAATAGGGCACACCCTTAGGTGTACCTGGGTTATATTTCCATATTACTATTTCCCCTTCTTTACTAGGACCCCAGCTGCCTGTTTTGCTAGAGTGCTTAAAAGTACCCTCTTTATTCATCCCTTCTCAGTCAAACTGAAAACTAAAAGAGCAGCAGAGAAACAGATCGTGTCTGTCTAAAACTTTGTTGAGGCTCCTTCTTCCTCAGGGTCTCTTGTGGTGGAGTGGAAGACATGAAACAAAGGGACAAGCATCAACACGGTCTCTCCTGTCTTCTCAGTCCCTATAGCTCCATCTCTCTGTTCTTCCTCAGGCCATTTAGTGTCTGCATTTCCAAAGTCACTCTGCAGACTGAGGGAGGATTCCTTTACCACTGCCCTCCTATTGTGGTGCTTGGGCTGTGTCTGATAAGGGAATTTGCCTCCAGGGGCATTAATACTTGCTTTCCAAGGTAAACTCTATAAGAATTTGGGCAGAAGTTAGTTTCCCCAACATTTTTCTTTGGATGCTCTGTTTCCCTGCCTGCCTACAAGCCCCATGTTGTACCTTGGACACATCACTGGGTGTGATTCCAGCAACAGACTCTCATATGAGTTCCTAAATAGCATTAGGGAGTAAACTGCTGCCTGAATTTCTGAAGCACGTCTTGGGTCAAAAGTCTTTGTCTTCCTTTTAAATCTGCATCCTTTCTCCTCACCCAGGTGAAACAATGTTTCCCTAAACCCAGGAAAACACTTAAAGAAGATTCCTGGCTTTTGGTTTTAAGTGTAACAGTTTCGTTTTCTCCTTTAAATTCTGTGAATGAGTTCTACTTCCCTTTGACATTTCATGGATTCATCTACATGTGCAATTAATGCAAAGTAATAAACTGTGGAGCAATTTGAGCCAGAGTAAACTACTCCTGGGCACAGCAACTACACGTGTGCCCGGGACAGCAGCAATAGGAGTAGAAGCAGAGCAGTTTATGCTAGGCTTGCTTCTGCCCTGCTCTGTCCCAGGGTGTTGGTCTTCTGGGTGGTGGTCTTGGGTGGCAGAGGGGCTGACCGGGGCATAAGGGTGCTGCACATATAGAGCAATGTAGCTAGGCAGCAGGTAGGAGTCTAGGCTCCTGCTGGCTGGGCTGTCTGAGTGCAATTTATGCCCACGGTCAGCTTCTACACTTGTGTTTAATCACAGTAAATGACTCCACTGTAAGATAGTACTGTTTTAATAGTACTATTTTACTGTGAAGTAAATTAGTTTACTATGGCCTAATACCATTGCATGTGCAGATGGTGATGCTTTACTCTGCAGTAAATTAGTCTACTCTGCAGTAAAGCGCATGTGTAGATGCAGACTTCATTAAATTCTTGGATCTCAAGAGATTAGCAATCCTGGATCCTCTCATTACCCATGCAAGTTGGAAACAGCTATAATTAATGCTATTGCTTGTGTTCAACAGGACCTGGTCTAACTGAAATCCCTCTCAGCAATTGCCTGTTAGCAAAGAAGACTCTTACCCTAAGCTCCTGCAACAGGTCTTTCCTCCGTCGCAGTGCACCTTGTAATGCATCCTCATGTCCTTCATTGCTTCCTAACAGAGTAATAGGATAGTCTGTTACTTCTGTAAGAAGCACTTAACATAGCGCTGTTACATACAATTACAATAATGAGTTAATTCTTGAAAACGGGATGCCACAAAGTCTGGTTACTTTTCCCAGAAAAAAAAAATATTTTCTGTTACCACTTCAGAATCCTGTAGGAAGAATGAGCAATGACTTTATGGTGCCCAGTGCATCCTGTGTGTGATGGTAATATAAAAGCTCTACCAAGGTGCTGCTCAGACACAGCTGAGAATCTGGCTTGATCTATTCTCTTGGACATACAAAAATGGAAGTAGGGGGGGGGGTGGAGGGGGGGGGCAGGGAACCATAGGAATTCCTAATATTAAAAAAAATCAAATGGTTGCATACAATACTTTGGTGTATCCTAATTCCCCAGTGAACCCTTGCGTTTCAATCTAAGGCTGATTTTAAGACACACTGACTTTGGTAGGGTGTGACAAGACACAGCTTTTGCCTGGCATTCAAAAGGATGTGGGCAGGAAGCAGAGTAGCCTGCAGGTGGCTGCACTCCCAATCAGGGCACATGACCAGCGGAAGACTGCCTGATTGGGAGCAGGGCCCAGCTGTTTGTAATAAAAACAGGCCTTGAGTACTAGCACTAGCAGTTTGTTGCAAGCAACTAGGAGAACATCATTCAGCTAGAGCTGCTGCTCATGTAACATCTTGGAGGTACAGGGCAGGAACTGTGGGAATGGTTAGAAGTTCCTGGTCCTGGGCCATGACCTAAAACTATACCCTGCTGGGGCTGGATGGTGTGGTGGGACTGCCAGTGGTGGGGCACACACCAGGAAATACCATACCTGTTCCTCTCCAGTGAAGGGTGAGTATGGGGTGCCAGAAAGCTTTAGCCTCCTGCTGCCTTGTGGGTTACCCTGAGTAGGGAAAAAGCTAGGAGAGCACCCCAAAGTAAAAGCATAGAGCCCAGGCACTTGGAGTAAGGCCTGAGGCAGGGTCCAGGCTGGAGAAAGGGACCTGTGGCAGAGCTCAGGTCTACAGCGAAGCCTGAGGCTCAGAAAAAAAGGGTAGGAGATGATTGTGGGGATGGGGAAGCCCCGGTATAGGGGCACATGAGATAAGGCCCCAGTATGGGGGGGTGTGGGATGATTGCTTGGAAGTGAGAAGCCTTAGTGTGAGGGTATGTGGGATGAGGCCCAGTGTGGGTCATGAGGGGACCAAGAGGGTCTAGAGCTGGGCAGGGACCCTGAGAGAAAGGGAGGGGCCAGGAGCCTCTAGTTGGTGTGATTGAGAGCCCTACGTAAGGGCACAGGAATTGAGAATCCCAGTGTGAGGCACTGGAGTGCTAACTATGGATGCCAGCTGTGAAGTATGGGACATGGTATGAGGGTAGGTTCAGAGCCATGTATAGGCCCTTGGCACCAGGGCAATTAAATGGGCAGCCTCCTGCCTTGTTAACATCTTCCAAATAAACTTCATCAAAGGTGTGGCAGGTCACCAACATGGTGAAGCCAGTCTTTCCAGTTGAAGAGCATAGTATGTGACTCGGTCAGCACCCCCAACTGCTGCTTCTTGGTTGAACAGAGGAGTGGCTGCTGGGTCAAGCCTTTTATCTGCCCCCCAGCTCCTTTCAAGGTGCAGGCAGACAGGCTCGGATGCGTGGAATCTGCTAAGGTAGCACCAGTATGAGTCGAGTATCTCTGTATCGGAACATCAACATCCCTTTCAGCAAATCAGTGACCAGGCAGATTCTGACTACCTAATTGCTTCAAGGGGCTGGGAGCTGGGAGGGTGGGGAACAGGGAGAAAGGATTAGGGTGTGTGATTAGAGGGGCTTCTTATAGATATTAAGGCCAAGAATAAACTTTCTGATTATCTAGTCTGACTTCCTCCATAACATTGGCCTGAGAATGTCAGCAAGTGGTTCCTGCATCCACCCTGCAATGTGTGGTTAAACTAGAGTAGATTTTTAAACTCTTACTTGCTGTAGAGAGTGGTGAATCAGTCTCCTCCAGGTTCTCGCGTTCATTTTGTAGTTTCTGTGAATAAAGCCATAAGAAGTGGATAGAAGTCAAGGACTAAGAACAGAAACATCTTTTGGCTCTGTATCGCAGACCTCCTTTTTGGATGTTGGGGGGGAGGGAATAGATTTGGAGCCAAAGGACATTTCTCTGTTCTTAACAACTACACTTGCTCCATATCTGCAATAGGGAAATTAATCCAGTACCCTGCTACTAGCTCATATTCTTGGAAAGATCTAGGGACCCTCAGGGTTACCCCCCTGCCCCAGCTGAAGTTGGAGGTTGCAGACAGCTGTTAAATATACATAAGGCTAGACCCCTCATGAAAATGTAGGGTCTCTTGAAATCAATTCCAGCTTCTACCAGCTGCCAACAATCCCAAGGGGCAGACACAGGACCAAGTGAGAACTTGAGAGGCAGCAATGTGCAGTCAGTACATGGGTTCAAGGTGGGTTTTTTGTTACTTCATTGGTTTACACATCTGTAGGCAAAGAGTTCTGAGATGCACATGGAATTAAACAGAGGTCGCTTAAATGGGACTGGATGATGTATGTGGTACAGGTCAAGATCTGCGTTTGGGACTCTAACAGCAAGAGACCATAGATTCATACATGCTAGGGTCGGAAGGGACCTCAGTAGATCTATTGAGGTGACTGTATTTGGATCTTGGGGAGCATTGGATTTGCAGCTGAATAAAGGTTTTAACCTGTGGCCTAACAGAGCTGCTAACCACAAGGCAGAATAATATACTAAAAGTAACATTGCAAGATGCTTAGGTAAGCATTTTCCTAACAATGTCGTAGTGTTATAAGACATATATGATTCATTGTGTAAGGAGAATAGGATGCAGCCCACCAGCTATTGTTTGGAGATGAGCAGAAGCAAGACCTTGGAAATGGAGTCGGCAAGAAACCATAATTAACTGGGAGAAGCTGGGTTCACAGCCTTGAGCATGTGCACATAGCAAAAAGGCATGTAAATTAATGAAATGCATAGGCAATTCCATGCTAATGAAGTAAAGTAAATGGAGGTGGCGCTGAAATAGGAGGAGATATGGGTGGAACAAAGGAGGGGCAAAGGTGGAGTAAATATTAATGAGCATGAACCAAGGTATATAAAATGTGAGAAGAACTAATGTTCACTGCTGCTTCCTGGTTTTTTCTTTTTTGGGAGCTTGCCCAAAGCTGTCTCCATTTTGAATAAAGCTGTTGCGAGCAATGTGTGCTGGTGTTTGCTCCCTGAGCAACTGGATTCCGAGTGATTGGATCGTCATCTCCCTAGCCGTTGGGTGCTGCATGGAGTTGGGGTCTAACAAGATCATTGAGTCTGACACCGCCCCCCCCGCCCCCCCC